TTTTGGAGATTAAATTACCGAACTTCCTAATTCTTTTTTATGATCAGAAGTTAAATGAATTTAAGACCAAAAAAAAAAACTGTAATATTAAAATGCAGTTTGAATCAATTTAGCGGCGGAGAATAGAGCTATATAACGTACTGGATATTTGGGAGCGTTAAAAAATAGGGAGTACTTACGCCGCTTATTGAGCAGAACGAATGGTCGAGTAGAGTTTTCACCAACTTTTCTTTCGGCCCGGCACACGACAGTCGTAGTATTATGTCATCGCAAACAGCAAGATTCCCACTTGTTTGTTCCTTCCACCAACATTTTTGCGTGCGCACTAAGTACAAGGACGGACAACACGGCAGGGAAAATCAAAATTATGAGGAGCAATAACAATACAAGGAAATTTTTAAAGGGAGGACAACGTACGTTATTTATGTATGCAACATACCGCCCACCAAATTCACTCTACGGGAATTTAACAAAAAAAATAAAATTAAACAAACATGCAACAAATATTATGAAATTAATTAAGTATATTAACATATTTATTGTGTCGGCAGTGCGCACAATTTAACTAAGGGACGTTTGAAACTACCGCGAGTAGTATGAACGCATGCTACTCTAGCAATTCCATCACTCCCCGGAAACAGTCTTTCGATGCGACCAAGCCGCCACTGTAGAGGGGGCGTGGTATCATCTTTCAGCAAAACTAAGACGCCAATATCAGCCGGTACAAGTTTTTTATCTTTGGCCCAATGACTCTTTTGAAATAAAGTATGCAAATACTCATTGTTCCATCGCGACCAAAACGATTGTTGCAGTTGCTGCAATAATTGCCAACGAGTGAGACGCGAAACCGATAAATGAGATAAATCTGGATCCGGTGGGGCTGATAATGGTTCTAATGTTAAAAAGTGACCCGGGGTTAAGCTACTAAGATCGTTGGGGTCTGTACTGATAGGACAAAGTGGCCTCGAGTTCAAAATGGCTTCTATTTCCGCGATAACAGTATTCATCTCTTCTAACGTAAGGATTTGATTTCCAACAATACGAATTAAATGTTTTTTGACAGACTTAACACCGCTTTCCCAGAGTCCACCGGAATGGGGAGCAGCAGGAGGGTTAAATGACCAAGAGATTGCTTGTGAATCGACCGAGTGTTTCATTAATCGATTAAATTCTCTGTGAGCACCGACGAAATTAGTCCCACAGTCGCTAAATATTTGAACGCACCGTCCTCGGCGTGCAATAAAACGCCTAAGTGCAGCAATAAAAGCGTCGGTAGATAGGGAAGACGCCATTTCTAGATGAATCGCCTTGGTGGCGAAACAAACGAAAAGACAAAGATAAGCTTTGACCACTTTGGTTCCACGGATTCTAGCTGCAGAGATGTTAAAGGGTCCCGCAAAGTCACAACCAACAACACTAAAAGGTTTTATTTTACTTATTCTTAGGGATGGCAAGTTTCCTGTAGGAGGAGAATAAGCGGTGGGATTAACTCGAAAACAACGGTTGCATTTAGCTAAGTAACCACGAATAGAACGTCGGGCCGATAATATCCAAAAATTCTGTTGTATCAAGTACATGGTTGCATTGACACCAGTATGGTGGTTTATTTCATGAACATGGCGAATCAAAAGTTCAGTAAGGCGATGTGAGCGAGGTAACAAAGCGGGGTGTTTTGATTCAAATGGCAACGAGGAATTTTCTAATCGACCACCTACCCGAATAATATGGTCTCCGCCCACCAAAGGGGATAGTTTGGCAAACCATCTAGGTAGTGCTTTATGCGAACGAAGCTTCGTGAAAAGATCCGAAAATAAGTTTTCTTGAACAATTCTAACCATAAATAATAACGCATTGTGGGATTCTTGAGCGGACAGGGAACCTAAGCGCGTATCACGGGGATTCCTCATGTTGTGTACAAAACGTAAGATATAGGCCACAATGCTTTTTATCTTAGGTAACGAAGACACATCCAGTAACACTAAAACAAAGTGCTCTGGATCGACAAGACTGGTAGTATGAGCAACGCATGTAATGACGGACGTTTGTTTCATTTCCAAAGGGGGACAATTATTGATTGGCTCAGAAGGCCACGAATTATGAGATAAATTCAGAAAAGCAGGACCAGACCACCAAAGCGTTTGAGATAATATCTGATTGGGGAGTAAACCGCGCGACGCGTAGTCGGCAGGATTTTTTTGAGAAGGGATATGGCGCCAACATCCAGGAGCCACGCGCTCATGAATATAAGCCACCCTATTGCTAACAAAGACCTTCCATTGCCGCGGTAATGAACGAATCCACGTGAGGACAATGGTTGAGTCCGTCCAGGCAATAACATTATCTATGATAACCAGCTCACTAAAGGATTCTAAAACGAATTTGATTAACTTTGCCAATAACACAGCTCCGCAAAGTTCCAGACGAGGTATTGATAACTGTTTAACAGGAGCAACCTTGGATTTAGAGATTACGAATTTAGTAGTAGCGGTTCCATCTTGAAGCGAAAAACAAAAGTAAACGACAGCGGCATAACCCTTTTCAGAAGCATCACAGAAGCCATGTAATGCACATGAAGAGAAATAACGAGGGAGTAAATTGCGAGGCAATTGTAATGACGAAAGTTCATGAAGTCCCGACTTAAACTGATTCCAAGAGCTAACAATTTCGTGAGGCGGTTCAACATCCCAACCCAGACCTAACAACCATAGTTTCTGAATGAGACATTTAGCAAAAAAACTAACTGGGGTGAGAAACCCAAGGGGATCATAGATCCGCGCGATTTGTGATAAGATTGAACGTTTTGAACAAGGCATGTCACGAGGACTTACAATGAAAGCAAAAGTATCGGAAGACGAATGCCACTGAAGGCCAAGAATTTTAATCGCACTGGAGGGGTCGATATCAAAAGAACGTGCTTGAACCTGCCTGAATTCAACTGGAATAGAATCCAGAACGTCCACGCAGTTGGATGCCCATTTGCGAAGCTCGAAACAGCCTAAGGCAAACAAATCTACGAGTTGAGCGACAAATTTTCTAGCTTCTTCAAGAGATGAAGTTCCGCAAATTAAATCATCTACGTAAAGGCTACTGCGAATGGCATTGACTGCGAGAGGAAACTGATCTGCACCAATATCGGCTAATTCCAAGAGAGTACGGATAGCTAGGTAAGGGGCAGAAGATACACCATAAGTAATGGTGTTCAATTGGTATGTGGCGATTGGATCTTCAGGGGAAAATCTCCAACGAATGAGTTGGTACTTGCGATCCTCAAAACGAATGAGGATTTGGCGGTACATTTGACGAACGTCGCAAGTAAAAACAAAGGGATGCGTTCGAAACTGTAGCAATAATTGCACAATATCCTTTTGCAGCTTAGGACCAACTAGCAAAGTATCATTAAGTGATTGCTGGTTTGAAGCTTTGGCCGAAGCGTCAAACACTACACGTATTTTGGTATTTTCCTCTCCGTGTTTAAAAACACCATGATGAGGGATGTAATAGCAATCATTACCACACGGGTTAGTACTCAATAGTGTCATGTGACCAGCATCTAAATATTCTCGCATAAAGTCTAAATAAAGAGCTTTCAATTGCGGTTGTGAAGCGAGGCGATTCTCTAGGGACCGAAGGCGACGATCTGCAATGCCCATCGAACCGTCAAAAGTGGGATTAGCAACCTTGAAAGGAAGTGCAACACCAAAACGGCCCGAGACGTCTCGAAACAATGATTTTCTGAAAAAGGATTCAGCGAATTCCTCTTCGGCATTGACTAGTGGTTTGGAATGAATTTCTTCGATGTCCCAAAATTGTTCGACAATTTGCTCTAGCGGCGGTTCTGAGACCGAAAGCAACGATTGGACGACCT